CCGCCCGTGCCCATGGCCTCTGCCGGGGGAAGAGGAGACGAGAGGGAGCAGCCAGGGTGTCACCCAGACCAGGGGGGAGGGAGACCCAGCCTGGGGAAACTGAGGCACCGGCCTCCCCACCGGAGCCCTGCGCAGGGAATGAGGCCTAATTCCCGCCTCCCGGGGGTACGTGAGGGAGGAGGGGGGACAACAGAGTCGGTCCCACCTGAGTCCTGACTTCCGGAAGGCTCTATCCGGGGGGCGCCCCTTGCTCTTCAGGGCCTGGTGGCGGCAGGAGAGGGGGTGCTGGTGAGCGGGAGAGCCTGGCAGCCAGCGTGTGCCTGGCAGTGTGGTGTCCCCAGCGAGCATGTCTGATGTTGGACAGAGGAACAAGCATGGGGAGGCGGGGGAACAGGCACCAGCAGCGAAATGGGCCGAGATTCCCCCTCGGCCTGTGGTATGTCCTAATTCCTCAATGACCAGGAGTGACTATTGTCATTGGAATATTATTGGGGGGAGGGGGACAAGAGTGCGTGTAGACAGAGCATTAGCCTCGTCTCGGAAGCCAAGGGAGCCGAGTTCCAGCTCATCCAGCTCGGCCATGGCTCTGCTGGGTGGCTTGGACAGGCCCCGCCCCTGTGAGCCTGTTTCCCCACCTGTAAGATGAGGGATTGATCGCCCCAGGCCAGCAGGGCTCTTGGGGTGGGGTTGGCGGTCTGGCTCTCACTGGGCAGGTGGGGACCTTTGAGGCGGCACCAGGAGAGAGCCCTTCTGCCCCCGAACCCCTAGCAGCCTCCCCAGCCCCTGCACATGCCGGAACCAGCTCAGAAGCCTGTCACACTCCTGGGCTCAGCCCAGGGGTTCACGCGGCAGCCGCCTGTGTCCCCCATCCCCCGGGGATGGACCAGCCTCCAGCTGGGCGGCAGCCTCCCTCCCCCCTGCAGCCCCTCCTCACCTGGGACTCCCTCCTGGCATCGGGCGATGCCCAGGGACCTGTGGGTGTCGGAACTCTGCCCCTTCCCCGCCAGGACAGATCTGGCCTTCCTGCCTGCTGCCCTCTTCTCATGAGACAGGGTGGTCCCTGGCAGCCTCGCCCCACACTCACCGGAGCCGTCCTGTGGGTTTGGGCGTCCAGCCTCACATCTGAGGCCTGCAGGGAGGGGCTCCCCGGTGTACCCCAGCCTGGTGGGGGGTGCAGCCAGACTCCCAGGCTTGCCTGCAGATCAGCCACTGGCCTGGCTCTCACCCCAGGCCGGGGGCTTAGAGCATTCCCACCCCCTCCCCATCTAAGAGGCTTTTCCTGGGAGGGGTGAAGGGACAGGGGGGCCCAGGCCTGCCGGGGAGCTTTGGACAGATGAGGTAGCAGTTTCTGGGGCCCCAGGAGGACACACACAGCCCTGTTCTGGTGGTGGTGGGGGTCCTGCTGGTGCTGTGGGCACAGCCCTGTCCTGGAGAGACACCCCCCCAGGCCCCAATCACCTCAATGCCTTGTGTGCCCCCCACCCCCGGCCACATTCGGGGCCCAGGCCTGCCGGGGAGCTTTGGACAGATGAGGCTCCATGTTCTGGGGCCCCAGGAGGACACACAGAGCTCTGTTCTGGTGGTGGTGGGGGGTGTCCTGCTGGTGCTGGGGGCACAGCCCTGTCCTGGAGAGACACCCCCCCCCAGGCCCCAATCACCTCAATGCCTCGTGTGCCCCCCACCCCCGGCCACATTCCAGGAAGGGCCTCTGTGCCTTCCCCTGGATAAGGCTAATCCAGGAGAGCCCGGGATGGGGGCAGGGAGGGCGGAACAAAGGGTGCTGTGTCCCAGGCCACCGATGGGCCCTGACCTCGGCCACTGCCACCCGCTGCCCCTGGAGAGGCAGCTATTTCCTGAGGCTGGAGATGGAGGAGGGGAGGGCTTCAGGGGGGACCTAAAGGCGTGTGCAAATGAGGGCTGTGAAGGAATAAGAGGGGGTGAGGCCTCCCAGGCACCTGCCAGTGACCCCATTCTCCAGTGGGAGGTCTCCATCCCCACCTGCCCAGCCCCCAGACCAGAGAGCACCAGTCCTGCTGCCTGTCCACTTGCTTTATTTCTCATTGTTTACAAAAGTTAAAAGGGGACAAGTACGGGCGGGCGGGGGAGGGTGTGTAAGGGGCTCCTCTCCACTGGGGTGGAGAAGGGGAAAGAGGAGGGGGGCGTGAGGTAGGCCCCCAGGGAGAGTCCTGGGGCCCCTGGAGGAGAAGAAGTGGTGCTGTCCCCATTCCGCCTGCTTTATTTTCAAGGTCCCAGACCCCATGCCAGGGCCCTCGGAGCTGCTCAGGCTGGGGGCTTGGTCAGGGGAAGGGCGCCCCCCACCAGGATCAGGGCCCCGGCGTCTCGGATCCACGGCTGCTGCTGCTGCTGCCGCCAGCTCTGGGCAGCTCCTGGGCAGGTGGCGGGGCGACCTCAGACCCCTGATGGAGGAAGGCCCTCAGCGGATGAGGGGCGCCGAGCGGTCATTGGTGACAGTGGGCCGCAGCTTTACGGTGGCAAAGGGGTTAGTGCCCCTGTGGGGGGAGAGGTCAGAGAGAGGTCTCCAGCTGTCTGTGAGTCCAGGGAAGGCAGCTGGACACCTGAGCCGGGTGTCCACCCTCCCTCCTGTCCCCGTCACCCGCACTCACCCCCACCCTGTCTCCCTCTACCGAGTCCAGTCCCCGCTGGCCCAGTCCTGCCCCAGACTCACCGAGGGAAGAGCTCTGGTGGCTGCTGCTCCCAGGACATGAGTTTCTGCAGGGGATGGAGGAAGGGCCGAGTCTGGAGGGGAAGGGGCAAGCCAGCTGCTGCCCCTCCCTCTCCCCCTCTAGGAGGCAGAGGCCCCGCAGTGCCAGGCTCTGGGCGTGCAGCCCTGGTGTCCTGAGGCCCAGGATTCTGTGGGTTTCAGACTTGAGAAGCCTCCGGGCTAGAGGATCATCTCCAGGGCCAACCACGCCCAGGACAAGACAGCGGTGGCCTCATGAGGAGGCGTTCCCTGTGTCGCTACCCCGCCCCGGCTCTGACCCAGGACCCTGGTTTGACCTCCCTGGGAGGCAGGGAGGACAGGCCTTTCCCAGTGCTCCCGGCAGGACACCTGGGGCTCTAGTCCCTGACATGAATCTCCCCAGCCCCACCCCCACCCCGGAGTCAGAAGCTCATCTCACCCCTCCCTGCACAGATGGGCAGACTGAGGCCCGGTGGAGGGGCCCCTGCCAGACACAGTGGCAAAGCAGAGAGGGTTCCGGGGTCTGCAGTCTCCCTGCCCACTGGTGACCCAGGTTGCGGACAGCCTGGGGGAGAGGGCTCACCTTGATGTCACTGGCCACCCCCGTGCTGCCCATGCTGCCTCGGCGGCTGCCAGGCAACGGTGTAGGTGCGGGGCTGGGGGCACGGCTCGGGACCC